AAAAGGTTGGAGTAGCTCCAGTGAGAGCGAGTCGCCTTAGATGGTTTGGTCACATAAAAAGGCGGCCTTCCGATGACCCGGTTAGGAGAGTAGAGGTATTAGATTTGACTTGTGTTAAGAAAGGTGGGGGTAGACCTAAAAAGACTTGGTTAGAAAATATTAGAAATGACCTTTCTTTATTAGATTTAAACGAGAATTTGACTTTTAATAGGACACAAAGGAGAAAAATGATTCATGTAGCCGACCCCACGTAGGGGGATAAAGGCTTGATGTTGTTGTTGGTGTTCCCCAAGTCTTGGGATAAAGGCTTGATGTTGTTGTTGTTGTATTGAATGAATAAATGAGTAGTACTTCAGGGAAAATTCTATAAGATGGTAGTGAGACCCTGCAATGCTTTATGGTGCTGAATGTTGGCCATTAAAAGAGAAGCATAATACTAAGTTAAGTGTGGCAGAGATGAGGATGCTCAGGTGGATGAGTGGCTTTACCCTTAGAGATAAGATATGAAATGAGATATACGGGAAAAGGTTGGAGTAGCTCCAGTAGAAGATAAGATTAGAGATAGTCGCCTTAGATGGTTTGGTCACATAAAACGGCGGCCTTCCAATGACCCGGTTAGGAGAGTAGAGGTATTAGATTTGACTTATGTTAAGAAAGGTAGAGACAGATCTAAAAAGACTTGGTTAGAAAATATTATGAATGACCTTTCTTTATTAGATTTAAACGAGAATTTGACCTTTAATAAAACACAATGGAGAAAAAGGATTCATGTAGCCGACCCCACGTAGTGGGACAAAGGCTTGATGTAGTAGTTGTTGTTGTTGGATTACATCAAGGGTCAACCTTAAGCCCATATGTTTTTGCTTTAGTCATGGATGTTCTCACTAGACATTTGCAAGATGATGTACCTTGGTGTATGCTTTTTGCTAATGATATTCTAGCTTTATGTTGATAAGACTCGAGAGGGAGTTGACTGTAAACTTGAATTATGGAGGTCAAACTTAGAGTATAAAGGTTTTCGCTTGAGTGGATCTACAACTGAATATATAGAGTGTAATTTTAGTATTTTTTTTATTTTTTAGAGTGTAATTTTAGTAGTAATAGAACTTGTGAGGGGATTGTGACTTTGGACGATCAAGTCATTAATAAGAGTACACGTTTTAGATATCTTGGATCTATTGTTCAGAGTAATGATGAAATAGATGAGGATATTATCAGCGGAATTCAAAATGGATGGTTGAAGTGGAGGAATGCATCGGTCTTGTTGTGTGATAGAGATGCCTCCCTCAAACTTAAAGGAAAATTCTATAAGATGGTGGTGAGACCTACAATGCTTTACGGTGCCGAATGTTGTCCATTAAAAGAGAAGCATAATACAACATTAAGTGTTGTAGAGATGAGGATGCTCAGGGTGGCTTTACCCTTAGAGATAGGATCAGATTGCCTTCCAATCGACTATCAACCCCTACTAGAGGATCGATCCTTAATTAATAACTCTAGGTAGTGTATTCCTCTATCTCCCAATTTGTGTCTGAGATCGTCTCTTTGGCCCATCCTGCGGGCAGGTAGCTACTCTGTCTACTGTGGTCATAACTGAAATATTGCCCAATCATCTTATAACTCTAGCCTAAGTGTCGCCTTCGACAAGTCGGACATGTGGGTACATTGCTAACGTAACTCACAGAACCTACCACTAACAGATACAGACAAACTCCTCTTGGAGTTACCTAACCCATACCTACTCTTCCTCCCATTGAATCAACTTCAAGAAGCCTCTCCATAAAATCTCTTCGTGCTAATAGTCCAATGCTGGTAGGTTGTTCTCTGCCAGTCATAGCAATGATTAGAGAATTTGTGATAACCTGAACTAATTTGCTAAGTTGACATGTTCAATTTATGTATCTTTTGTGAATGTTTTGAATGTATTTTCTACAAATTAGATTGAGTCATAAGGGACCCAACCTTTTCTTATGATCACCTGGAAATCTTGTTTGTTTGTAATCAATCTATGAAATGTAAGTTTCTCTATCTATAAAATTTTCTAACTGTCAAATACCAAAATAATTCAAAATTAGCCTTAAAGTATTCATTTACCTTAAAAATTCACTAATATTCTTACGTCAAAACCAGTACTTCAACACGAAGACGATTTGCTGAGAATATTGTGAAAACCGGATTTTTCTAAGAAGGTCTTAGTTTCCCTTGCTTCTTCTTCCTATCCTTTGGCCTGCACTTTTGCAAGTTTTTTGTTTATCGGCAGTGTGATTGCAGGTTGTGAAATTAAGGTATAATTACTTAGGCTTCGTTTGGGACGGCTTTTTTATTGCTTTCTAAAACGGAGTTTTATTACAAAAATAAAATATTTTGTACTAAAACTCCGTTTTAGAAAGAAGTAAAAAAGCCGTCCCAAACTAAGCCTTAGTTTAATTATTATGTAAGATTTTATAAGCGCTTTCATTATTATCACTAATATTCTAACGTCAAAACCTGCACTACCAATTCCATCTGTACCATTGGATGTGTCCTTTAGTGGCAAATCTCAAAATTCCATTTGTAAGCGGTGCATCTTTTAGTGACAAGACAATGCTAATATGAACAGTAGATTAATTTGGTGCATATTAAAAATAAATCTAAGCTTAGGCGAAATAATTTAAATATTAAATTAAATTTTATATGCTAATCTTCTTATATTTATATATATAACCGACCCTAATTAAAGCTAGGGTTTAAAAAAATTTGTTTAACCATTTCCATGAGATTGAAAAAATGATATATGTAAATTGCAAGATTTTTTTGACTTAACCTTTTCCAAATTGGGGATTACAATTGGTTCACAAATGTACAACCAAGGATAGAAATGTGCTTAATAGATGATCCGATTAATTGAATGTTAAGATTATTAGGAAAATGGCTAAAACTAAATTATGCATGTCACTAAAAATTATATTTTTTAAGGTTGTCATGTTCAACCGTCATATTTTTCTTCATGCATATGCGAATGCGTGCACCATTGCTGGCAAAACACTGATACATTTTTTTAAAAGTATATATTATTCACTTTCCATCTTGTTTTGTTCTATCCATTTGTATGAGCTTATTAAGACAAGATATAAATGTATTGTGAATTTATGTCAGGTATTTTAAACTTTATTGTTTGACATTATTCTGTTTCTTAAGCTTTTGTGTGAAAGACCTTGTAGAAGTTGCATTTCTGAGATGTTGTCTTTTCTTGTAGGATAAAAATGACTTTGAACTTTCAACGTTACCTGCTCTAGTTCCTGTGCTGACTTCTGCATCTGGTGAAACACTTCTTCTGCTTGTGAAGCATGCTGATTTACTTGTTGACAAGGTGATTGCAAAATTTTTTTTTGGACTTATTAGAAGCTCATCATTTCTTTCACTGTAGTTTTGATAATTTGTTAATAGTAGTTCCCTTTCCCTATAGTAAACCAATGGTAGATTCCATGATTCTTAACCACTTTAAGTTAATAATTATTTCTTTCTTAGTGTTTCCTTTATTATGCTTTGTTGCCTTCCCGTCTAGAATACTATGAAGAGGGCATTATTTCAAACATTTTGAGGATACTTTAAGAAGGCATCATGTCATCGCAGTGCCACGTCATTCATTTTGACTCAAACACTCAAAGGACATCTTGCCAAACATGCTATTATCGTCTCGTTTTTAAAATTTTTAAAATAAATATAGTACTTCTTAGACATCTTTTGGAAATTTTTTGGATATACTTTACACCTAGTGAACATGTATTGTACGCATATTATACACAAATTGTACCATTCTGATTACAAAAAGGTTAAATAAATAGTGTCATCGAGTTTTTTAACAGTATATTTAATATTTGATTTGAAAGTCGATTGCAATTGTGAAGAAGATGATTTCTTACTTTTTTGTGGTGTTTATGCACACATGCACATATTTATGCATTTCTGTTTTCGCATGTGCAGGGGTGCATGTTTGGAAGGCAGTCTAACCAATTTCCTTGCTCTAGTTTTTAAGAATTGTCATATCTCAGATGTGTCATCTTTTTGTCGCCTTGTTTATTTTTGTGCATCTTTGTTATACTTTTGCCTCCGTACTGCATTTTGGTGGCATAGGATGTTCCTGAGGAGTTTACTATTTTTTTTTTTTTTTTTTAAATTTGAATTCTCTCTTGTTTAAGTTTCTTTTGAATGGAGAAGTGGATCCTGATTCTTGTATGGTTTCAACTGGAGGTTCAATATACCTTGATTCTTTTGTGTGCTGTAGGGCCCAATGCAATTAAGTTTTTTTTTTACGGAATGCTGCTTGATTTGTTGCATTTGCTGAAGCTAGTTGCTTAAAGACAGCTTGGTATTGTGTTGAGTTTTTGATGTCTAAAATGTTATACCCATTTTAACCAGTCTCAGTTGGTGAATTTGGATATGAAATCTTTTGTAACCTTTAAATTTTTTAATGGAGAGAAAACGTTGCATGCTATTTACATGTTTACTTTATTGCATGTTACATGTTATTTACATATTTACTGTACATTTGATGTCCAACTCTCTTTCACTTTTGCTTATGGTAAAATTTATCCGGTTTAGCTTTGAAATATTTTTTATTTTCTTATGACAACAATGCATGCCTTTTTTTACAATTTTTTATTTGTTTGTAAGAATTTTTGTACACAATGGAGAAAACGGATCATAACTGATCCCACGTAGTGGGATGAAGGCTTGATGTTGTTGTTGCTTGCAATAAATTTTGAATAATTAGATGCTTTGAAATTGTATTTGAAGGACTTAGCTTAGCTATTTTGATTGAATTTGAACATGTTAATCAATTTGGGAGATTCAACTTTTTGTTTTATTAGGATTGTTTTTTTTTTCTTTTTTAAAGCTAGCAGCCTTATTATATATTCTTATTATGTACCCATATTTTGGTTTCGTAGGCTACTCAAGAACATTTACAATCCCATGTTCTTCCATTGCTTGTTCGGGCCTATGATGATAGTGACCCACGTACACAAGAGGAGGTTTTGCGGAGAACGCTAACCCTTGCTAGGCAACTTGACATGCAGGTAATATTGTTCTCTTTCAATCAAGAAACTTTTTTTTTTTTTGGTGTGTGTGCATATGCGAATTTGATGATATTATTCTTAAATGGTGCAGACAAGTATTATATATATTTCTGGACTAGTATAGCAGATGAATGCTGTATGAGTTCAATAATTTTAGAGTAATTAGATAGAAAAATTTTACGGGAAAGTGAATTTGATGATATTTTGCTTAAATGGTGCAGACAAGTATTATGTATATTTCTGGGCTAGTATAGCAGATGAATGCTGTATGAGTTCAAGAATTTTAAGGTAATTAGATAGAAAAATTTTATGACAACTGTATGCCGATTGTAAAAGTTATTCCTGCGGATCTATGTTATTCTTTTTGCTTTTAGATTATTGATTCTCATATTTACCACGTCTTGTTTATTTGCTCCAAGCATAAATCCCATAGTTATGATGGTTTCATTATTGAATTCCTCCAAGGCACCAGCACCATTGTGAGGTCATTTCAACGAGGCTGTTTAACTTTTCTTTGGACTTCAAGCTTCCTAGGCATGTTTCATCGATATTTCCCTGATTGCTAAGAGAAAAGCCTCCACCTCCCTATTTGAATACTAGCCCGTATCCATCTGCAACTTCTACAAAATCATTGTCAAAATGCTTGCTAATTGAATCAAAATTGTTCTTCCTCATGTCATGTTGAAAGCCCAAGTTGCTTTCATCTCAAGGAGGCAACTCAAAGAGAATGTCCTATTTCTAAGCTTGGAAAGGGTTTTAGTGTTAAGTCTAATGTTAAAAAGTTGTCCTATAATTGATATTTTTAATTCATTTGATTGTCTAAACCGAGCTACTCTACTCATGTATTTTAGAAATGAAGAATTTCCTACCATACATGTTATTTAGAGCAAGGTGTCACGTAATGACATTCTCTTAGTCACTCGTGCAGCCTTAGCACTCAAAACCTATGCTAAGTAGCCTAACTTTCACAACACAAGTGTAAGAACACTTGGAAACTTGGAGAAGAAAAGTGGAAAGGAAAATAATGCTTTATTGAGAAAGGAAACTTTACAAGGATTAGGAACTTGAAAAACTTTGGATGATCCAAAATGAGGGGTGGGGACCTCTATTTATAGTCCCCTATGGCCCTAGAGAATATTCTAGAATACATGAGAACATCTTGCTTCTAGATTATTCCATACTATTCTAGTTTATTATACCACTTCATACAAGGTTGCCTAGAATTTTTTGGATTATCCTAGAGTTCTCTTGAAGCTCCTCCATTCTAGCATGATCTGGATCTTGTGAGAAGGTTCCCGAGTCTTCTTAGGTCTTGGGCTTTGGGTTAACCTCCTTGAGATGGCAAGGTGTGACACTCTCCCCCACATAAGCTCGTGATGCCCTCATCGTGCCTTCCATATGGTACTATTGGATCTTGTCCTTGAATTTTCACAGTGTCTTCGTGTTCCCAACTAGCTTCACTATTTGAAAAGCCCTTCCACTTAATGAAGCATTCCTTATAATTTAGGACTACTCGTCGGCGGATCACTCGATTTGATAGTATTTCTTCCACCTCTTTGTCAAAGGAAGCGATTACTGCGGTGAGAGCTTGCTTGAATACTCCTCTTGATGGATCATCCTGATGTTCATGGTAAGGCCTCAGCATGCTCACTTGAAAGACTGGGAATCTTTAGTTTATGTGGAAGGTTAAGCTTCTAAGAGACCTTTCCTATTTGCTTGATTACTTCAAATGGCCTTTCATATTTCCTCACTAATCCTTTGTGTACTTTTTGAATGGTCTTGAATTGTTGTGGTCGGAGCTTAACAAGAACAAATCTTCCTTAAACTCTACATGTCTTCTCTTTCATCTATGCTCACTTCAGCATTGATGAGGACATCTGACCTTGGAGAGTTTACCAGAGACAGGGCCGACGATCGACGGCCACAATTACACAGCTTTATTTTTGAGTTATTAATTGTATTTAATTTATTGCTATTTCTTTTTCGATTTTACCCTCATTTGAGGGAGTAGATGTTTGTGACCCCACGGGATACTATTGTCTTTTGTTTTGTTATTGTATGTGGGGACTATCTATAGCTTCCTTCTATTCTTATGAGGGTTAATGAAGAATATTATGAAAATTTAGCAAATTGTCTCTTGTGAGATTTAAGGGAGAGCTTTGGAGAGAACCATAGGTGAGAGAAACGTAACACCCACCAACCGCAGGAAGCGTCCGGGTTCATGGTCTACCTCCTCCTTCCCCTTCATCCCCTCTCTCCCCCACAAGCCGCCGACCACCATCTTCTTCCCTCCAACCGTCGGCCTCCCCTCTTCCACTCCTACTAGATGCAGGCCCCAAGAAGCCCCATCCCTCCTAGCCGTTGGCCACCTAGACCACGCTCCTCAGTCCTCCGTAACCGCTGGCTAAGCCACCCCAAACCCCAACGCCAACTCCTAACCCTGGCTGTCAACTCTAACCCAAGTCCTCTTCCCTAAGCCACAGACCAACTCCTCCCTTGGTTCCCAAATTTCAAAATCTACTATTCGAAACCCTTCCTAAATTAGGAAACTATTCTAATTCATTTTCAAATTGAATTTGAATTTGAATTTTATTTCCTAATTAAGGCACCCTATTTTAGGAAAGCCCATTAAATCATGCCTATTTGAATTTTGAATAGGATTTGATTTAAAACAATCTTTCCTATTTCAAGATCCTAAATAGGGCAAGCCTTAACTTTAAGAACCCTTTCCCTTAAGCAAGACGCTGGTTCCCTTCTGGCCGCCTCCCTCTCTCTCTCTCTTCTCATTAATAAGCCAATTAAAGCTCCCCAAATCCAGCCAACAATTCTCCAATTTCTTCCACCTCTTTTGTTTGAAATAATTTCATCAATTTGAATTTATTTCCCTCTTAATTCAAATTTAAAAACATGAAATTAAATTCCTTACCCACCCTCAAGAAAGATGTGGGCAAAATGGTCAGTAGGTGCTACACCTGCCAACTGGCCAAACAACACAAGCAAAACACCAGTTTTTCCTGTTCCGAGCTGTCTATGGCAGATGTTATCATGGACTTCGTCCTAGGTTTGCCCAAAAAATTTTGAAGGAATGATGCTATTTGTGTCGTAGTTGACCTTTGCTCTAAGATGGTTCATTTCCTTTTCTATTTTAAAACATTTAATGCATCCCACATCGCCAAACTATACTTTAATGAGGTTGTCAGATTACATGGTTTACCCAAGACCATTGTATCTGATAGGGATGTTAAATTGACAAGCTATTTCTGGAAAACTCTCTGGATGAAAATGGGCATTAAATTTCAATTTTTTACAGCCTTTCACCCTCAAACCGATGATCAAACAGAAGTGGTTAATAGAGGCCTATGAAATTTATTAAGGTCCTTAGTAGGTGAACACCTTAAGGATTGGGATTTCAAAATCCCCACAACTGAATTTGCCTACAATAATTCTGTAAATTGCACCATTGGTTTAAGTCCTTAATTTGTATATGGGTACAAACCTAGACAACCTTTAGATCTCATACACATGTGTCATAGGTATATGATTTCTGAGTCTGCATCCTCATTCGCATTGCATTTGCATGAATTACATAAAGAAATTATACGCCAAATTGAACAGAGCAACATTAATTATAAATTTCATGTTGATCTTAAACAAAGATTTAAAAATTTGAGGTTGGTGATTCACTAATGATGCGGATTCATCCGGAACGGTTTCCGCAAGGAGTCGTTAAAAAATTAAATGCTAAGAATGCATAACCATTCAAAATAATTAAGAAAATAAATGACAATGCTTATGTGGTGGATCTGCCTGCATAATTCAATATTAATCCCTCTTTTAATATAGAAGATTTAGTAGCCTATGAGGATCCAGAGTTTAACTCACCAAATCCACTGCAAACTAAGTCTTGTATGACCCCACCCAGTGAGAACCCAAGCCTACCTCCACTCCCAAATGTTTCCAAAATACCTATGGTGGGGAAGGTTGGCATGATTCTAAGTGATGACATCATTTCTACAAAAGAGGGTGGATGAAGGTGGTGGAGAGGTAAGCCCGAGTCAGAAGACTCCTGGTTAGAGCACGAGGAGCTTCAGCAGATTTACTCAGATGCACTAGAGATTTATGAGAGCACCCGAGACACGTATTCGACGGAGTCGAGCTCTTTTCCATCCTATGAGATTTATGGGGACATCCAACCTTGGAGAGTTTACCAGAGATGGGGTCGACAATCAACAGCCACGATTACACCGCTTTATTTTTTAGTTATTAATTGTATTTGATTTATTGTTGTTTCTTTTTCGATTTTACTCTCACTTGAGGGAGTAGATGTTTGTGCCCCCAAGGGATACTATTGTCTTTTGTTTTGTTATTGTATGTGGGGACTATTATTAGCTTAATCCTATTCTTATAATGCTTAATGAAAAATATTATGTAAATTTCAACAAATTGTCTCTTGTGAGCTTTGAAAGAAAGCTTTGGTGGTAACCATAGGTGAGAGCAACGTCACACCCACCAATCGCAGGAAACGTCCGGGTTCGTGGTCTACCTCCTCCTTCCTGTTCCTCCCCTCTCCCCCAGAAGCCGATAACTACCATCTTCTTCCCTCCAACTGTCGGCATCCTTCCTTCCACTCCTACTAGCCGCCGGCCCCAAGAAGCCCCATCCCTAAGCCACTAACCAACTCCTCCCTTGGCTCCCAAAGTTCAAAATCTACTATTCAAAACCCTTCCTAAATTAGGAAACTATTCTAATTCATTTTCAAATTGAATTTGAATTTTATTTCTTAATTGAGCCCCCCTATTTTAGGAAAGCCCATTAAATCATGTCTATTTGAATTTTAAATAGGATTTGATTTAAAACAATCTTTCCTGTTTCAAGATCCTAAATAGGGCAGACCTTAACTACTTTTAGAACCCTTTCCCCCTAAGCAAGCCGCTGGCCACCTCTTGGTTGCCATCCTCCCCCCCACCCCTCTCTCTTCTCATTAATAAACCCATTAATGCTCCCAAAATCCAACCATCAATTCTCCAATGCTTCCACCCCTTTTGGCTGAAATTAATTTCATCAATTTGAATTTGTTTCCCTCTTATTTCAAATTCAAAAACCTGAAATTAAATTCCTTGCCCCATCCCCTCCAAATCGGACCCCTATTCCTCTATTTTTTTCCCTCCTAAAGTGAAACCATTCCACTTAGGTTGCTGTCCAAAATTTTTAGCAACATAACCTTGCTATCTCGCCTCCTTAACCTTCAAATTTGCTGATCAAAGGAGATCAAGTTGTTGCCCAGAAATGTCACCTAGGATTTTTGTTGTCCAGCCCTCCGGAAAGATGCCGTTTGCTGTCCAAAAGCACATGTACATTAAAATTTGTTATTCCCACATATATGACGGATCCAGAACTTGATCACAGATTTTTCTACGACGATCAAGGACAAATTGATAGTC